GTATCTATCCAGATTGCACCGAGCTTCAAAGTGCAGTGACTGACACACAGATGGATGACGGACAGAAATCTGTGAGGTGTGTGTGTTTGTGTTGTGTAAAGTGAAATGGGGCAGCAGGCCCTCTGAGTGGCACGAGGCTCTCTGCCAAGTGATTGAAGTGATAAAGGTAAAGGAGGAGTGGAGGGGATGAGAATAGATGTGGTGATAAATGACTGGGAGAGAGGCAGCAGATGTAATGAAGTGTGTTTAGACACCTGTGTTTCTTGTCTCTTTGATATATTTCAACCTTTTGTATGTTTTATGTGTCGCTCCGTCACATCCTCAAATCTGCTCATTTCCTCTGAGAGGCAGAATGACAGGAATCTAAACTAACCAGGATTTTATTTTAGATTTTGTTATTTTGTTGTAGCACTGTTCAGCCATGTGAGGGCAGGCTTACACCTACGATGAGCTGCATGCTCTGGCTCATTATCTGCTCTGTCTCAGCTCGCTCAAATGGTGGAGGAATATTTACAGCAGGGTGAGAGGCAGGAGAGACGGCGAGTCTTTGAAGAGCTGGACCTACAGTATGCAGAATTAACCAAGAAAGGAGGCAGCTTTGACACAAAACCCGTCTATTCATGCTCGTACGCTGCAAAATGATGCTCAAAGTCAGCTTTTAAAAACCCATTTGCAACATGAAATAGGGTCCAGGTTTACACAGAGAAATATGATATTTCAGAAGGGAAAAAGGGTAAACCGACACGGCAGGATTAGCACAGTGCAGTTTGAGCGTGTAAGAGTAGAAGAGAGGGAGGGAGAGAAAAAGAAGGAAGGTAACAGGTGCTAATCAGAAAGGGAGTCCCGGCAGTAGAGGAGAGGGTGAATCTGTGGTGGGAAAAAAGCAATTACATCACCTTTCTAACAATAATGTGCCATGCTGTCAGTGCAGCCGGTGTTTTCTGTGTGAGAAATACACAGAGAGAGAGAGAGCTGTCAAAGGTGGAGGTTTTATACCAACACAGACAGAGTGGGTGGATGGCACCTGAAAGAGTTGGTTTTGTCTGCAGCAATCTGTTAAATTTAGCTCCTCATTCATTTTGTGCTCCATTAAGTGTTCCATGGCAACCCTTTAATTGGCCCTCATGGAGCCATCTTTGCCCTCTTGTTGTCTGATTTTGTGGATTCGTCGGTGTCGTTCGCTGCACGTTGGATTATAAAAACGACTTCACCTGTTTTTCCTTTACAGAACGGAACAAGTAAAACCAACTTTTCAACGTCAACCCTCTCCCCCCACTCTCTTCTCTGTGACCTGCTGAAGCAGCACACCCCGGCCTGTCCATCAAACTGGTGGAACAGGTGCACTTACCCCTCTCTCTCTACCCCCACCCTCCATGGCCCATGGCTACACATGAAAACACTCCTCTACATGCTCGCCCAGGTAAACTTATATTTTGCGAATTTGCTGCTTCACTCTGTACGGTTTGCTGATGCAAGTCGACTTATTGACCTGTGACTTTTTGTGGCATCCAACACACACACACACACACACACACACACACACACACACACACAC